TACTAAAAATCTTGAAAAATACTGGAGTTGCCCCGGCTATGGTCCCGGCAACTCCCAAAAGAGCAGACAATTTATATCGTATTGATCTGTCCTCAGCTTCATGGCTTTCTAAAATGCCTAAAGCAAATTCCATTGTAACGGATGCTCAGCCAAAACCTGTACAAACAAACCAGACTTCCCCCTCTGACAAAGAGGGAAGAAAACTTGACTCTATGGCCAAAAAATTTTACTCCTCAGCATGCCTGTTTGCACGCATGGCTCACTATGGAGTATACATGAGTGTGTACCAAACCCATTTGTGGAACAAGATATCCCCTTACTTAGAGTTATTACCTCCAGCCAACCAACCACTGGCTCTGGCTCTTAAACAAGAAGCCCTCCTTTTATCATCTTTGCAAAAAGACCTTGCAAGGAACACAGCTGACACTTCAGGGAAACTCATTGCAGGTTCAGTGGCCCTTCGTCGCCACGCCTGGCTAAGGGCTGCAATCCTCTCCCAATCACAACGCACCCTTATTGAAAACCTTCCTATGGATGAGGCAGGACTCTTCAATCCTGAAACTGATTCACAACTTGAGCATTCTCATAAAATGAAACAAACGGTCTTCAAATATGACCAACAACCATATTCTCACCAACGTCAACGGTGGGGCTCATATTACTACCGCCCCCACTACTACAACAGACCCTACAATACCTCCTTCTACAGGGGACGTCAAAGATCCTACGCCCAGTCTACAGCTCCAAGACGGCCACAGCTCCCCTTCAGAGGTCAGTACCGTGGTACCAGGCCTGCCAACAACAACAAACGTCGTTTTTAGCACACCAGTAACCATTACCACTCATCCCTCCATACATACACAACCACTTACATACCTAAACAGACTACAACCCTTTCTTCCAGCATGGCAGTCTATCACTACAGATGCCTGGGTCCTGGACATAGTCGAAAGGGGATACGCAATAGAATTCGACTCTTACCCACCTGTGGGTAGGATCCTCCTCACTCAACCCTCCCAGGAGATCTGGGAGGAAGTACACTCTCTCCTTCAAAAGGGCGCCATATCTCCTAACCCTTCACAGAATGCCAGCAGCTGCTTTTTCTCTCGATATTTCCTGATAGACAAAAGAGATGGGGGTCTACGCCCCATCCTGGATCTACGCAGACTCAACACTTTCATTACACCCCGCAAATTTCGCATGGTTACACTTCCTAACATACTCCCTTTTATTCCACCACAATCGTGGTTGGCGACAGTGGACCTACGAGACGCCTACTTCCACATCTCAATTAGGGAGGCCCACCGCAGGTTCCTGACCTTTGCGGTGCAAGACAACCACTTCTCCTTCAATTCTCTCGCATTCGGCTTGTCCACGGCACCCAGAGTGTTCACAAAATGCATGTCTGTCATAGCTGCACACCTCCGCCAACAAGGCATCACAGTTTTTCAGTACCTGGATGACTGGTTATTTTGTTCTATTTCGAGAACACAACTACACAACGATATTCATTACACCTTGTCTCTTTTGCAGGACCTGGGTCTGGTTGTAAACCAGGAAAAATCCCATCTCACCCCGACACAACGAATCCAGTTCATAGGAGCCGTGATAGACTCCACTCTCCAGAAAGCCTTCCTCCCAGAGGACCGCTTCCTCAAACTTCAGCAAGCAATCCGAACCCTCCAGCACTCCCGGCGATCTTCGGCTTGGGCTATCCAATCTATCCTTGGCCACATGTCATCTACCACAAATGTGACCCCGTTCGCCCGTCTAAAGATGAGGCCGCTACAAAGCTGGTTCATCAAGTCCTTCGACCCCCTCCGGGAACCTCAATCTCGCATTCTATATCCGCCACACCCCGTCCTTCACTCCCTCTCATGGTGGACAAAGCAGTACAATGTTCAATCAGGGATGTCCTTCATCCAACCCCATCCCTCCATGTCCCTCACGACCGATGCCTCCAACTCAGGTTGGGGAGCACACCTCAAAGGGTTCAAAGTGAGCGGCCATTGGTCTCCCCAAGACCGCCAATTCCACATCAACGCGCTCGAGATGATGGCAGTAGAAAAGGCCCTCAGAGCCTTTGTCCGCATCATCTCGAACCGCAAAGTCCAAATTGTAACAGACAACACCGCTGTCAAATATTATATCAACAAGCAAGGGGGAACCCGCTCTCAGACACTATTAGCCATATCAACACGGATTTGGGAATGGTGCATTCGGAGGAATGTCCTTCTCACTGCTATCCACCTACCAGGCCAGGACAACACACTAGCGGACTCTCTAAGCAGATCCTCAAAAAACAATCACGAGTGGCAACTACATCACACACACTTCAAGACTCTCACCCGCAAGTGGGGCATCCCCAGGATAGACCTGTTCGCATCCCCCGTGAACACTCATTGCCCTCTCTACTGCGCAAGGCTCCGCCCTCACGCATCCCCAGGTTGTCTCGGGGACGCCTTCCTGTTCCAGTGGTCCCCAGGCCTACTCTACCTCTTTCCACCACTTCCTCTCCTATCCCCCGTCATAGCCAAAATAATTCAGGACAACACAGACTGCATCCTGGTCACCCCCTGGTGGCCACGCCAACACTGGTTTGCTCCCCTGCTCCAGATCTCCAACAAAGAATTCCTCCGCCTCGACCCGACCCCAGACCTTCTCTCAGTGGAGAACGGACTAGTCCTCCATCCAGATCTCCACTCCCTCTCCCTCACGGCGTGGAGGATCAGGCCACAATGAACCTCTCTGAGGAAGTATCACGAATACTATTGGCCGCCCATAAACCAACCACTAAGAAGTCGTATCATTATAAATGGTCATCATTTGGGAAGTTTACACAAGCAGTGGGATTCACTCCCTTATCAGCACCAATTCCTGTGGTACTAGACTTCCTAGTGCACCTCTCCAACAAAAACTTCTCCCTTTCCTCAGTCAAATGCTACATAGCAGCAATCTCTTCCTATCGCAAAAAATCCGGCTTGCCGTCCCTTTTTCAAGACCACCTGATTCAATTGTTTCTCAAGGGCTACAAGAATGTCCACCCTCCTACTTCCCTCCCTTCCCCTCAATGGAGCCTAGAGCTAGTGTTATCCCAGTTATCAAAACCTCCCTTTGAACCTATGGCCTCTAGTGACATTTCCCATTTGTCTTGGAAGACAGCATTCCTTGTGGCCATCACGTCGGCCAGACGGTCGAGTGAATTGACGGCCCTCCGCTCCGACCCTCCTTATATCAGGTTCCACGAGGACAAGGTAGTCCTTCGGACTGACGTCACGTTTTTACCCAAAGTTGTTTCTTATTTTCATATGTCACAGGATATTATCCTGCCGACCTTTTTCCCCAACCCATCCTCCCCGTTGGAGGTAGCGTTACACTCCCTCGATGTTAAGAGGGCTCTTTCCTTTTACCTGCATAGGACCTCCTCCTATAGGAAGTCTCCTAAACTATTTTTGAAATACAGAAAAGACATGTTGGGCCATCCTGTATCCTCACAGGCACTGGCCTCCTGGATTGTTTCAACGATCCGGCTAGCCTACCAATTGGCAAAGAAGGAACCTCCTTCTCACATCGTGGCGCACTCGACTCGCTCGGTGTCCACATCTCAAGCCTTTCTTCGAGGAGTCCCTCTGGATCAAATCTGCAGGGCAGCTACGTGGTCTACACCATCCACGTTTGCCTCCCACTACAAGTTGGACATTCAGGCGAAGAAAGACGCTGCATTTGGCAGAGCTGTCCTTTTTTCCTGCGTGGCATGACCCGCCTCCAGGTCAGTAGCTTGCTATTCACCCATAGGTGTGGATTTCGCAGAGGACACGAAGAATAAATAGAGGTTGCTTACCTGTAACCGTATTTCTTCGAGTGTCCATCTGCGAAATTCACACAACCCGCCCTTCCTCCCCTCTGTCATGCCTCTAGACCTAGCTGCGATTAGCGCTGGGGAACTACATCTCAGCCGCATGCGGCGGCATATATACCGAGGGGGCGGGGAGAGGGGCGGAGCCTCACAAATAATCATTTTTAATTTCATTAAACTTTAGAATGTTCCGGATTTCTGCGCATGCGCAAAGGAAAACCCATAGGTGTGAATTTCGCAGATGGACACTCGAAGAAATACGGTTACAGGTAAGCAACCTCTATTTCTTATTTTAGCGGTAGTCTTAATGATCTGGTTTACATTTGAATTCCTTCATAACTCTTGAGCACATGCTCATGGTTTTACTGATTTAATACTGCTTGTCAACTTCATTAGAATTCACTTCTCCATAATTTTAGGACTGTTTTGCAAATCAGAACATGTATCTCTGGAACCCATATGTCTGTCCTCTTCAATAGTGAAGCTCAGTGCAACTAACAGTCAGTATTGCCATTTTCTACTTCTTGCTGAACTTGTGCAGAGCTTTTTGATGTGATGTTCCATTCCTGTTAATTGTATTCTTTTCTGTCCTGTTGTTCATATACTTTTTGAATTTCTTTTGGGGAAAAATCCTTCCTGAAATCTTTGGCCCAAGGATTTTGATTCACTTAATTTGGATAAATTAAATTCAGCTTGTGGGAGTTGAAAAATAATGACCCCTGTGGTGTGTCTGTTCTATAGATACATTTTTGCTTCTATTTAGGATTCCATACATGCTAATTGAATTCAAATCCATTCTCCTGCCTTGGTTTGCTTGTCACACAGTAGGCCTGACTGGCAGCCTTTCTTCACCAAAGAAAGGCAGGAGTATTTGGCCTTTCATGTGTCAAGACTAATGCTGCAGTTCAGAGTCCAAACTTTGTACTTGGTGGGGAATGCATGGAAGGATTAAGCATTCTTTCTCTGTACTCTGCCCAGAATAAAAAGGATTGTACAGTGAAATGGAGAATTTGTAAGAGGGAGACTTATCCCCTGGGGAAATAAAATAGATGGGAGCAAATTTCCCCATGAGCAGGAGAGGACTAGGTGCAGATGCAGACTGTACAGAAAAATGCAGTAGTATGAGTTATCCTTTATTTTCTAGTTTCATCAAGGAGCGTTCCAAGGTCAACGCACTTCCCATGAAGAATAAGAAGGCTAGCAGTTTTCATGAGTTTGCTCGTGACACCAGTGATGCCTGGGATATTGGGGATGATGAAGATGAGGACTTCTCATCTTTCCAGACTTTGAACTCTAAGGTGGCCAAGGCCACAGCAGCACAGGTGCTGGAAAACCACAGCAGACTACGTGTGAAACCAGAATGGCCTCAGGCAGCTCTTAGTGAAACTCCAACGAACTGTAAAGTCATCAAGTCCAGTAGTGATGCCCATATATCCAGAACGCCTGGTAAGAACCCTCCTACTCTGTACAACCAATAGCTTTTTTAGAAATCTCTGGCTCCTGCCATTCTGTACATATGTCACATTTGAAGCTAACTTCAGAATAGAAACTTGGGATTTAGCAAAGATTTCTTTCTCCTGTGGATTCAGTAGTACTTTTGAATATATGCAGTCAGTGTTTGGTTTGATCTTGAAAGAAGGAGGTAAGATATTCTCATGGCAAGACTTTAATTGTCACATTTCTCCTTGTTTTGCTCTTTGTTTAGTGGAAGTAGAACAAATTTATGTAAACCAGTACATGTTTTCTCATTCAAGGACATTGTTGGTAGGGTGCTGGGTTATATGAATCCTTGATCTGATTCAGTGGCATTCTTACTCAGCTGATGGTGTTTGGCATTTCTTGCCACAGAATTTAAACTGTTTAAGTAGACTTTGCAGCCCATGTCAACCAAGTAGGCAAGTCTTGATATGTTCCTATGAAATGATGTTGTCAAGTGATCTTGTGTGTCAGTGTCCATAATTTTGTGGTAATTTCAGACCCAGTTGTTGTATCAAGACTTTTGACATGATTGAGCCATGCTTTCAGTGATGTCCTGTGGTTATAAATCCATATGGATAGATTAGGGGAAGAGGTTAAGCTTGACTTTTGGGGGAAAATATAAGGGCTTTTCCCAGGTATTTTTTAATATTGTATATAAATGGCAAACAAAAAGTAACAATAAAGTACAAATAGTAAGGTAGCAAACAGAAACTGTACAATTCTAACATCTCAACCCTTACTTTCCTTCCCCATACCCATGAACCCACCACTTAAGACTTATGATACTACTCAATATAAATCTTATTCCTATTAAAAACCTACCCTTGTATCTGTTTAATAAATTCCCCTTGTGGCTACTTTACAGTCTACAATTGTCTTTCTTTCCAAATATCAGCCTCCATTTTTTAGCAAATTCTTCATAGTTTCCTCCTCTAATACCATTTTTAGCTTAGCCATTTTAGTATATTCTAATAGTTTTTGGCTACGTTTTTTTTTTAAAAAAATCATTCAATTAGATATGGAACTAGCTGAGGCAGTACAGACATGTCCTTTTTGTGCTAGTGTTGTTGCAACAGTGAAAGCATATTCTACTTTCAGGCTCTGACAAATCATCGTCCCTATCTAAGGCCCATTCTACACTGCCATATAAAATCCAGATTATCTGCTTTGAACTGGATTACATTGCAATTTAGAAGGGACAAAAGATGATATCAGAGCTCATTGGCTGACCACCAGATGGCATTAGAGTCTGTATATCCCTCTGTTTCTTAATACTGAGATGTAGAGACACTTGGGGTTGTAAACTGTCTCTTTATTTCTTGCCATACTACTTCATAAAACTAGAGAATAAATCCACTTAAAATCTGGTTTCTACCTCCTACAGAATTCTGGGGTTTGTAGTTTAGTGAAGCTGTTAAAGGCTCCCCCTAAACTACAAATCCCAGAATTCTGCAGGAGGCAGCAACCAGATTTAAAGTGGATTCATTCTCTAGTGTGATGAGGCCCAGAATAGATTACTGAGTTTGCTGTTCAGTATATTGAAAGGAAGGAAGAGGGCATGAAAATTGGAGAGGGAGAAGGAAAGCAGTGATAGCTTGGTCATGTCTGTGGTTGATGGAAAGACCAGGTGATCTCAGTCAACAAAAGAGTTATTATAGCCGTGTATGGTACTCTCTGAATAATGGCTATTACTAAAGTGTGACACCCCACATTCAGCAGCATACTCATTAGTGAAGACTTCCAGGTCATTTCTTTTCCATCCTGAAGTGAGGCAGAGCAGTTAGCCAAATAGGAGTGAGCAATTTACTGGTTTATATAGTCCTGGCTTAAAGTTACACTTGTGCTTTCAAAATATCAACAAGGTGGGTAAAAATTCAACAGATATACCTTCTGCCATCATATTGAGAAGGGAGAGAGAATTTACAGGTATGGAGACTTACTCTGCCATGCATGTGGACACTTTCTGGAATTTGATATTCTGAATGCATGAAGAAGACAAAGAAATATGTTGTCCAGTATGCTCTTAGTCTGATAGAGTCCTTTAAACTCTTTTAGAAGATGTCTGCACACGCAACCCCCTCCACAAACAACAGTCACTACCACTCCGACCCATCATTCCACTTGTTGCTCGCATCTCTGACCAAAATGCTTCAGGAGCTCCTCCCATGACAGTGCGTGAAAAAACTCGCTTGGAGAAGTTCCGGCAGCTTCTTTCCAGCACCAACACAGATCTAGGTGAGTCTGCTTTGGGAAACTAAGAAATTTCTGGTGCCTTGTTTGTTTCAGAACTACCACCAGAGAAAGGCACATTCCCCATTGGTATCTTTCTCCTGTTTAGAAGCGGGTGTGTTGAAAACAGAATGGAGCTATAAGAAAGTATCCAAATATCCAGTAGCCAGTTGCCTGAGTCATTGATAAGCAACCTTGGCTAATCTGAGGGCCAGTGTGGAATAGTGGTCTGAATATTGGACTAGGACTCAGGAATTCATACTTAGCCATAGAAAGGCACTGGGTGACCTGGGGCAAGCCACATACTCTCAACTTCAGAACAAGGCCATAACAAAACACTTTCTGAACAAAACTTTAAAAAATACTGCTACAGATTCTCCCTAGTGCAGTGGTGGCGACCCTATGGCCCACTCACCTGCCTGCTTGCTTGTTTGCACCCCCAAGTGCCCAATCCCTCAGGTTTGGGCACTCACTGTCTAAAAGGTTCATCATCACTGCCCTAGGGTCTCCATATGTTGGAGATATCCTCAAGGCACACCACAACAACAACAACCTTCCACAATCTGTCAGAAATTGCTGTAATCTCCACGCAGCCTTACTACCTCTCATTATTGAAATTCAGTGACAGAAAACATGCTTTCAGCTTAATCTTCTCTTGTGTACTTGTCTTCACATTAAAATAAAGAGTTAATGGGAGACATTCCATGTTCTAAAGGAGAATTACAACTTCAGAAAAGCAGTTCACCTTATTTTAATGATAAAATTCTGTTTCTTCTTTACTCCGCTATGATGGCACTGCCAGCCTTTGCCAGGAGTGACAAAACAGGCTGGGGGGGGGGGGGCACAGAGAGCCATATGTTGCTGTGTTGTCCTCTTTTGACCTAAATTATACTTTTCTGACCCACTGCCCTCTAGACATGATAGCTACAACCCCCATAAGCTCCAGCCAGCATGGATTCTTTTGCTATTTCTAACACATCTGGAAGGCACCAGATTGAGGATGCATGGTTTAAAGGATAAAGCAGTACAGCTCTGCATCTGTTGAAATCAGTTCACAGTACTCTCAGCTGAATTTAATATAGATTAAAATTATTTTGTTATATAACAATTCAATGCAAATATAATTAAAAACCAAAAATACTAAAGCACCCCTCTTGTCATCAAAACCTGTACATTCAAAGATTTTTTTTTCATGGCCTTAGAATTTTGGAGAAGTTTCCTCACCCACCAGAATACTGTATGTGAAGACACTTGCCACTATTTATTTGCAGATGAATTGAGGAAATGTAGCTGGCCTGGTGTTCCCAGAGAAGTCCGTCCTGTGACATGGCGACTTTTATCAGTAAGTGCAGTATCTCTCTGAGCTGAAGTGCTTTGTATGTGTGCTCCCTACATATGGAAAGTGTATGTGTATATGGATGTGAACAAGACGAATAACTGTAATGGTTGCCTCTCTTTCTATTTGACATCCTTAATTTTTTTAATACCTGAAGTCCTTTAATGGAAGAGAGAAATGTCACTCCTATAGTGTAACCCAGGAGTATATTATATTTTAAAACTAGAAACTTAAAAATAGAAATTGTTCATATATTGTGCCATTGATACTTGAAAAATGCTAGGGTGGAGCAGTGAACGAGAGTTGGTCCAACATAACCATATACCAAAGCCCCAGAATATCATTTCAAAAGCATGTTATTACTAGGCTTGTCGGATTCAACCAAAGGTACACTCTCATACCTTTAAGAATGTACTTCAATTGTAGATTCTGTCAGGTGCAAGTTTTTCCATCACAGAATCACTTGAGTTAGAAAAACTGAATTTGCAATACTTGGGTATTTTGCACAATTCTTACTGGCTTTCAACTTTTCTGAAGTTGAATGCAGCTACTCTAGTTTACTCTTACTCCTGTAAGAGTAAGAGTACTCTTACTCTTACAGCAGCAGTAAATACTACTGCAGCAGCAGTAAATAGAGAGGAAATGGAGCGTTGCATAACATTGAGCAAAGCAGAGAAGAGTAAAATTCTTGCCTTTCTCTTCTCTTATAGGGTTACCTTCCTGCCAGTATGGAGCGGAGGAAACTGACCTTGCAGCGCAAGCGAGAAGAATATTTTGGTTTCATTGAGCAGTATTATGACTCTAGAAATGAGGAGCATCATCAAGATACATACCGACAGGTACATAAAATTTATTTTCTGGTGCATGAAGTTTATGTTATATAGCAACCTGGGTTATTTTAAGGATTCATGACATGATGCCTTAGATATTTCCACTACTAGAGACCTTCTGTAGTTCTGTTCGTATGTCTGCCTCCTATCATGTCAGGTCCATTTTGCACAGTCTTGATAATAGCATGACAGAAAAGTTGATTTGTATTAGCTGCCTGAAATGAGCAGATATGACACTTGACCTGACCAAGTCAACTTACCATAGGAGTGAAGTATTCTAAAAACAAGTCACATACTTGGTTGTCCTAAAGTTGTTTTCTCAGGCCTCTCTCTTGTTCCAGTTACCATAAGCCCAAGTTGTATTGGAAGAATAATGATTAATAGGCTGTTATGTTGGCTTTCATATTGAAATACTCTTTATGTATATTTGAACAAGTAAATTCTTCTTGTTGGAAGGGTAATTGTTCTACAAGACAATATTGCTTGTTCATATTCCATCATAGGCCTGAATATCCTAAAGGCACAAAATCCTGTCTCATCTAGGAAAGCTAAGCAGGGTCAGCCTTAGTTAATAGTTCAATGAGACTAACTAATATCAGGTGCTGGAGGCTATATTTCAGAAAAAGGAAATGGCAAAAGTCTTCCTTGTCCATGAAAATCCAATGAAATTTGTTGGGTTGCCATAAGTGAACATGCAACTTGAAGGCACATACACACCTTCAGTCATAGTGCTGCTGTCACACAGACTATGGTAAAACATCCTCTTTATGTTGAAATTGTGAGCAGATGATATTAGCAGCCCTTAATTTTCATTATTTGAAATATAAATATATATTTTTCAGATCCATATAGACATTCCACGGACGAATCCCCTCATCCCTCTGTTCCAGCAGCCATTAGTTCAAGAGGTGAGAAGAGGTTTTCTTTTCTTTGTAGCCTTTTTTTTTTGCAGTTTAATATTCTAGGCTATATTGGTGGCCAAGGAAGGCTTGGCAAGAATCCATAGCAGTAATATTCTTCCCTGGTCAGCTGTTTTCTGCTGTATCCCAAGAACTGTTCTGCTAGACTGGGAAATCTCTTATGGTTTGAATGCAGATGACAACATTATCTGCTTTCCACCCAGTAATAAATGTTGAGTGCAGAAACTCAGATGAGATATGTACAAAGAGGTTTATTTTGGAGGAGCAGGCATAGTTTGTATGCTTTGTTTTTTAATCCTTCACTGGTACAAGAAATGCTGCTGTTTCCTACAAGATTCACATTATCTTGAAAGGCCAAAACTAGATGTTAGAACATGCATGCATTTAATCAGGGAGAAAATAGTCATAGGTTACTTTTTTGTTCCATATCTTATTATGCAAAATGTGTGATACAATAACAAGTTATGTTTCCTTGTTCCCCCAATTTCATTGACTATTGCATGTGGAGACAGAAACACTCATGACACATTGATAGCTCATTGCATATCATCTTTTGCTAGATGTTGAAGAGAAGACAAAAGGCAGAGCTGAATGGTGGGGTGGGGTATTTTCTGCAATGCATTCACACTAATGACCGTCTACATTGAATAAGAAACCATATTCTTCTTAACTTATACTCACATTAAAATAAATGTAAAAAAACTGAAATAGAAATAAAAAATGAGCAGGTAAAATGAAGAGCAATGGATACTACTACCTTAAACATTCTTTTGAGCTCAGAGTGTGCTGACATTTTACTTCAGAGTTACAGGTAGTCACCAGGTTACAAACATCTCATAGTTAAAAACAGGGGTGAGACTACAGGGAGAGAAATCTACTGCTAAGAAGGGAAATTCATTCCTGAAAAAGTTAATGGGGAAAATATATCTCAACTGAAGCTTTTTCACCATTCCTTATTTTCATTGGAAAAGCCACCAATGGCACAGTGGGTTAAACCCTAGTGCCGGCAGGACTGAAGACCGACAGGTTGCAGGTTCGAATCCGGGGAGAACACGGATGAGCTCACTCTGTCAGCTCCAGCTCCCCACGCAGGGACATGAGAGAAGCCACCTACAAGGATGGTAAAACATCAAAACATCCGGGCATCCCCTGGACAGTATCCTTGCAGACGGCCAATTCTCTCACACCAGAAACAACAAGCCAAATTTTTCAAAATCCAAAAGTGAGGTGAAATCTTCTGAAAAGGGGCACAAACTGCAAAACAAACACCACAGGGGTATTACCCCTTCCTTATGCTAACCAAAGCTTTAAAAATTATATGACTGGAGTTGTACTTTTTAAAAGTACCTGCTCCTAAATTCAACATACAAATTCAACATACAAATTGAACTTAAGAACAAATCTACAGAACCTATTGTGTTTATAACTTGGGGACTGCCTATATATATATATATATATATATATATATATATATATATATAGTCTTTACACTCCCCAAGGATTCCTTGAGTGGCTTAGAATTTTTTTCTTTTTCTTTTTCTTTTTACAAATGCTAAGAAGATGTCCTTGCAGAATCTCTTTGAAGGAGAAATGGGGATAACATTTCACCACTGTAATGTAACTTGTTTAAGACAGATCATCTCACTGACAGGGTCAAAATGGGATTGAGCTTCCAGATATACCAGACAGAACTGAAGTTGACCATAACTGAAAGTTAACTTCTGCAGTGTAGCTCAGAGTTGTCTGACCAGCTTAATTGTAGTCAGTATTTTCTGATGCCCACAGATCATGCCATTTCAGTCAAGTCTGAGTAAGCTTAATCCATTCCAGAATTATTGTGCATTTGAGTTTGCTGTATCTGAATGCCAGTAGTTGACTGGATGTTGACATTTATGACAACTAATGCAAGGACTGTCTAAAACCGCAGGCCTTGCAACCATGAAAGTTTGATTCAGATCTTCAGGTTTCTGGAGCACAGAAGCACACAGTGAGTCCCATGAATAAATACATAACAAAGTCCTGTGGTGTTGGTCTTGAAATTAATTGGCCCATTACTATTCTGAGATACGTTGTTGCCACTGAAGCAGACAGTGGCTCATAGATTCTGGGAAAAAACACTGTTTTGTCTAAAAGTTGAAACATTTGTGTTAATTATTCTGTACAACAAACTGTCATGTTCAGAGTATGATGAATGAGGGATATCTATTGTGATGGTATTGACCTTCATTGCCGAGCAATCTGCAAAGTATAAAAAAAAACCCAATGCTAGCAAGTTTGTCACGTAATTTATATTCATATTAGTGTTGATGACCCCTAGATTTTTAATATTCTATCTGGTTTTCTGGGACCAGTAATATATATTTATACTTTGTGTATATTTCTTTTTTTAGATAAGAAGATTTCAAATCTAGAACATGAACTAGGACAGTGCCAGACCATAGACTAGAACTCTTACAATTCCCCAGGAAGTGTGGCCACTGGCCATACTGGCCAGGATTTCTGTGTGCTGCCTTCCAAAACAAGTAATATTTCCAAGCTTTGCTCAGATATAACACTTTTCCTGTCTGTTAATGCTAGTTTGGAAGAGTACAAATGTAAAGACATCCAGCAAACATCTCATCGGTGTACTGAAGACAGGGCTCTTTTATGTATTTGTATGTAGAATTTTGTATGAAAATTGAAATATAACTTGGATCCTTCAGAATATCAATTTTCATAATCCAGAAACATTTCTCTAGCTATTGCAGCTGTGGGCAGAACATCTGAACAGATCTAATCCCTAAAAGTAATTCTGTAATCATCACCATCATCATTTGGGGGACAGATCCATCAAGCAAGGCTGATTTGCTACCTGTGTGGTCGCCGTAGCAATCTTTCCCCCTGCCATGATCCCATGCATTGCCACCAAACAGCAGTATGGACCAGTGGCTCATGTATTATTTTCTTAGTGTGCAGTTTTGATTTTAAAAAAACCATAATTTCACATTGAGTAGATTTTGAATGTGTGAACTAGGATATATAAGAAACATCATGACACAATGAAAGTAGCTTTGATAAGGTTTCAGTATGTTAATAGTTACTATCTATAAAGTATGGAAACTTGAAAGTGACTTGATATGACAGTCCTATATGCTAGGGGAGAGCATTGTGTTTGAAGCAGGAACATTGGAAGTATAGATCTCCAGGGTACCAAGCAGAGCTCATTCCCAATACCTGCTTCCTGATCTTTCTAATTGGATGTGTCAGGCATTGAATATGAGGCCCCTATAGCTTTGATTCTAAGCTATAGTTCCTCCTTATAAAACACTTATCTAGATGCATTTTGAAAGAGCTCTGTTTGAAATATAGTTTGCTATTTTTATTGGGAGAGAGCCCTTCTGCTCTGTACTTACTACCAGCATACTTAAACTTGTCATCGTAAAATATGTTAGCATGCTAATCTGCCCAAGTGCTTGAAGATGAAAGTTGTTTTAGTTGAGAACCTGACTAAAATTGCTACATTTTTTTTCATCAAAGTGGAACAAATATTTTGAAGACCCTTCCACCTGGAACAGAATATCTTGCAAAATCACTAATTTACAAGATTCATTCCTGGTCAGTTCATTCTTGATCCTTGTAAGACCTGGGCAAGAAAGAGATCTTGAGGAGAGATTTAAAAAGTATATGGGAATGAAACTCTGTGACACTGTGCCAAGCCAGCAATATAGTGGTTATGTTGCTGAAGCACATCAAAGGCAACACAATCCGAAACACAGGTTACCTACAACCATTAAAAATTCAGTCTGACAGTTTCTTCCTGATCATACAACTATTTAAAGGATTGTTGTAAGTTTTTTGGGCTGAATGTTCATGTTTCAAATGAATTCTCTCCTGACATTTCACCTGTATCTATGGCAGGCATCCTCAGAGGTTGTGAGGTCATCCCAACCTCTGAGGATGCCTGCCATAGATGCAGGCAAAGCTTACAACAACCCGGTGATTCTGGCCATGAAAGCCTTCAACAATACAACTATTTAAAGACTGTTCAGTCGTCCTAATGTCTTTTGTGTTGATTGGCTGTATTACTAAAATTAGCTATCCAGTTTACTACTTGGCAGTTGTGTGAAATCTGCCTATACACTTTTTCCTTCATTTTAAGAGCAGTAGAACTTTCTTCTTTGTGAAATAAACATTGAAAATTCAGAAAGGAGACCAAGCTTCCATTGAGTTTTTTCCTTTCTAGTAGTTAATACCAATCGTGGAACAGGAGAGTAAAACACTTCCTAGTCAATCATCTGCTACTGTGTGGGTATACTGACAAGTTAGATGATCCTGTAGTTACATCTTATTTCCCTTTCTCCTTGCCATGCGTTTCCCTGTCTGTATCTGAACAGGCAGAGCAACAGATGAAAAAGGATTTCTTGTGCAGTGGCATCACTAATACATTGGAGGATATTTTTGCCTTTCCAGTGGTTATACCTAGCATTTTATGTTGAATCAAGTCTTAGGGACCATCTTTGCTTCATGCTGAGCTGTCCATGCCACTAAGAACCCCAGACCTGGCTGTGTCCTTATCCTGTGAGCATTTCTAACTCTTACCACTGACTTTTCTGCCCTTGCACTTGTCAGACATTTCTCTCTCTCTTTCCCTGGGCATGGCTAACTCAAGCACCTGGCTTTCCTTCTTCCTCTCTAGATCTTTGAACGCATCCTGTTTATCTGGGCCATCCGACACCCAGCCAGCGGCTACGTGCAGGGGATTAATGACCTGGTCACACCATTCTTTGTCGTGTTCCTCTCAGAATATGTGGGTAAGCAATGCTTGTCAGCTACACTATGCTCTTAACCTCTGCTATCAAGAATTCTGATCTCTATAAAGTTAGGACTGCATGTTATCACTGATGTTTTGGATTGACTTCTGTCATTACCTGCTTAACATTTATTTATTTGCATTATTTCTACCCCGCTCATATCAGCCTGGAGGCGACTCAGAGCGGCGAACATTGGAAATAGTTTTTTTTATTTAAAAAAACATATCTAGCAATGATAGCCATTGGGCAAAACAGTCAACTTGTGACTAGGACCTATGTCCTCTTGGTAGTTGCAATCAGAATGTTCCCCTTGAATCATTGTGAACCTGGCTAAAGTGACATGTAGGTAAATTCAAGTGATTCAGTTATACTGCTCTTGTTGGGATTTCAAATTCAGTTTAATCCCACATTCTATAAAACAGTGGGGAATCTGTAATTTTCCAGATGCTCGAGTACAATTTTCATAATCCCTGAACATCAGTTATGTTCTTTGGGGTTGATGGGAAATTAAATGTAACAGTGTCAAAAGGGTGACAAGTTCTCTCTTTTTGCCATAAAGAAAAATAGGTGGCATCGTGTCAAAATTAAACTTTGTGCCCAAAATACTAGAATCTTGTAATCCTGATGCGTTATACAAATCATAGTCAAGGGAGACATGCTTGTTCCTTGGAGGTTTTAGAAAAATAATAGAATGGCATCATAGCTAAGATTATTTATTCTGTTTATATCCTGATATTATTTATTATAGCACACTTTGTCCTTTCAGCAGTCCTGTATAGTAGATCCCTTTGACTTGGAAATAGATTTTTATTTTTCATTCAAGCAGTGGTTTTTAAAGATTTTGAAGTGGGAGCTGCCAGTAAACTTATAATATCTTTGAAATCCTATGTGAAAGAAATTCCACTTTCACACTCAGATTTAATAACAACAACAACAACAATAATAATAAAACTTTATTTATACCCCACCATCCTCTCCCGGAGGGACTTGGGACGGCTTACAAAGTGCTCAAAGGTGCAAACACGCAATATGCAAAAAGTGCAAAGACAACAACACAAAGCAAAAAACTCCAACATAAACATCACAAAACCCTCTAATTAGGATCATTAAAATGCAGCAATAGCTGCAGAATACAAAACAAACTGCAATCAATATCAGTCTCATAAAGTGCATGTTAAAAAATATCCAGGTCCTCAAATTTCTAGACATTGTCAAAGGCTTGTCTAAAAAGCCATGTCTTCAGTTGTATACAGAAGACTTGGAGAGGGAAGGAGAGTCTAATATCCCTTGGGAGGGTATTCAAGTTTCCCTTTCTGGATCAGAAAATGAAAGACTAGTACTAGTCAGCTCTTAAACAAGTGTATATTTTGTATGTCATTTTAAGCATTAATAGAAGAAATAGGTAGTATCTGAGAATATATTTTAAGCATATAGTATATTCATAAGGAGGGAGGGAGCCCTTCTGAAAGGGCTCAGACAAGTGTGCCTTTGAAAATAAAGTTAATAATTCTACAATCTGTCTCTGCATATCATTGCCTGATTTAAAGGTTTTGGATAAGAATTACAGAATGGTTTGTATAACTGTAAAAATATTGGATCAACAAAGTCAAACTTTACCAATGCCCTTGTCATTATCATGTTGACCCTTGCATGTTGCTTGCAGTTATTTTGCTTATGTGGTTGCTCCTTGACCTGTCTTGGTTGGGGTCATCAATTCATTTTATTGCACATTGAAGATTAGCATCCCATAACTTGAAAATCCAATTTCCCAGAATAAATTATGTATTTTGTTTGTGTTCTGTAAATGTCTGAGCATGAATGAAACTTGATCAAGTACACATTCCGTTGAAATGGTAAAACGATGTCAGACAATGAGATGACACTATTCTTCAAAACCCACTAGTTTTAGTACTCCATTCTTATTGTAAATTGAGAGGAAGATGGAATAGAACATGAAATATTAGTCGTTGGTTCATAAGGACAAGGGAGCTAATTACAGTTTAGGAAACTGAATTTCCAGTGCCTGTACACAGAATTAGTGCCCATGTATCTTCTAATCCTGGAAATAGAACATTCAAACTTCATCAGATTTCCATGATGATGTTTTTTGTGATTATGCCAGCCTAAATCAGTGTGGCAAGGGTGTAGCTCTCCACATGGACTACAACTCCTAGCAATTCCTCACTTTGACTGTGCTGTGCTGGCTTGGGAATTGTAGTAAATAGTATTCTGAAATAGTATTCTGAAGGTCATGAGTGGTCTGCTTCATATTCTGTATGCCTTTGAATCCTTGATGAAAATCCATGTCAAAAGTTGTGTTTTCCCTCTACACATACATACATAAATATGTGGGGAGGGGAGCAGTTAAAGGGAAGGATGGCACTGAAGGGGAGGAGTGCATGCATTGCAGCATTGCAGCGCTCACCACCATTGGCTACATTCCCCAATTTTACTATTCTTCTGGGTCACTAGCCATTTATTCATCCTTCTGCTAGAAGATTGCTGCAGAGAGTTGATTTCCATATTCTTTTTTAAAGCTCTTTGTTAGGTGCTTAAAGGACAGCAGAATGGGCACTGCAATGTGCATTTCACAAAGGGAGGTTGGGTGGTTGGGGGGAATCAAACTCATGCCCTTCTCCAAAGGCTTGTTTCCGTCATTTCACATTTGGGGGGTCTTGGAGGAGGAGCTTTGGAGATTCCTTCATTGCACAAACTTTTGGGAACCACGTAAGATTCTGAGGACAAGCACTTGCTGTTTGTGCTCTGAACTAAATTGGAGCCAGTGGGATTGGCTCTTGGTGAAAAAAACTCAGAATGGACCAATCAGTAGCTTAGTAGCAGTATTTTGAATAAGTCTGTTTCAGATAGACTTTAAGAAGCAGGCCCAACATCTAACCTAGTAATCTAACCTAAAGGTAACCAGTAAGTGATCATACTGTGTCTCTGTAGAATAAAAGACTATTACTGAAATATCGGCCATAGCTTGTAGAAGCACTCAATGCAATTTGAAAGTCCAGTCACAAAACTGGATGGATGTGCACTATCAGACCATAAGTCTGATATTTTATGAGGGATACCATTCTGCCTAGATTGAGCACCATCTATTTAAACAGATAAACCACCGTCACTTATTTTTCAGCTTTAATGGGTTGTATTTAATGATCCTCATTCAGTCCATTAATGATCTTGGGCACTGATTTAACACTTTTACCACTGTGACTAAAGAAGAAATGTTAAATTGCCTCATTTAGTGCCTTTGGGAATATGTTGAAAAATATTGGACAAAAGATTGAATTCCCTAGCATAAATGCCACAGGGCCTAGCAGTAGTCCTCCAGCAGTTCCTGGAATCAGTGAGGGGTCAACCCACTGGAACATGTTGTCTTCCAGTCCCCAATCCAGAAAATTTATATGGAAACATCCTGTAATTAATTTTTTTCAAAACCTATAAAAAACTCCAGAACAATTAGCATGCAGCTTCTGTCTTCTAGTAGAGGAGAATATCTATGTGAGTAACCAACACCCTTCTTTATCAAATCAGGCTGAAAAAAAGATGTTTTAGCCCTTTCAGGCTCATCCAGAAATATTTGGCATTGCCTGCATAGCAACAAATCTCACTCTTCACTCATTCAAACAAGGAATATCTAACTTTCACCAGATTAGTGTGCTATGTCTTCATTCATACTGTGGATACAAATGTCTTAAATTCCTCCCCTGACATTAAGCACCAGATCATGGAGTTCAGAGAGTTCAGAGTAGCAACATATTTTTCCCCTTCTCCCTGATTACGACCTTCCTTTAATAGCTGCTTTTTATCTGTGGTTTAAGCCATTTCTATACATACCCATTCTCTAATGGCACAATATGTCGTTCAGATAGCTGAGTCAGGAAGACACCAGAGGCTCCCGAGGGAAGCATTTTGTCTGGAAAATGACTATTTTGTTTGGAGGTGGGAGTTCTTAAGCAGTTATCTCCAAATAAAACCATGCTTGTGTATTTCTGCCGCCACCTGTGCCTGCTAATGTTGGAAGAGGCATCTCTCTTAGCATCTTTTTGCAGTGATGAATTAACCTTTGCCGATTACATCACTGCCACTCATTAATCCCCCACACTGGTAGGAGAGTGAGTTGCATTCCCAGCCAACATCCTCAGCATATTTTTGAGATCGATCAAGAAACTTCACCAAAAAGTCTGTTGCTCTTTAGAAGAAGTACACAAAGAATGAAAGAAAGAAGGCAGGGGGGTTGGATTGGATGGCCCATGAGATCTCTTCCAACTCTATGATTCTAAAATTCTACTGCATAACAACAAGGACTGACAAGTAAAGTATTTTTATGAAAACATTTCTAGATATTGAATAATGTCCAATATTAGCATTACACCAATGGAAACAATCCTTACAAGTTGGAAGGATCCAAGCCCCCCCCCCCCCCCCACCACCCTGGTCACCTCTCCGCAGAACCTGCTGTGGAACATTGTGGGACTCTCCAGAGCAGACTTAGAGCATAAGACTGCAAGATGGAATGTGTTTGGGAGGAAGATTGAAAATCCTGGCACTTCTACTAGTGTCTTCTTGAATTTGGACCATCAAACATTACACCATTTAAGTCTCCAAAATGATAGCCATGTTTGGCTGTTGTAGTAAAAACGTCAAAGAATGCTGTGGGGACCTTAAACGTCAATACATTTTCTACAGTGTGAACTCTCATAAAAGCTCACGTGATAATTAATTTGTTAGTCTTTATGTTATCATAGGATTATTTCTTGTCCTGGCAGCTGCATTGTTGTGATGTTCCTCACAGATCTCACTAGATGTGTATCCGATTTTCTGTCCTCCAAAGAATATAGGAGAATTAGAAAAGGTCGAGAAATGTGCAAGTGTGCCATCTTCCTTGAGATATCAAACAAAGAGAGCAGTGTAGGAAATTTGCTAACTTTGGCTCTGCAAAAGAGGGAACTGCTTTGTTATTTCCATAGGGAAGTGCTTACAGGTGGTCTTCC